AAAATAAACAGGAAACACCTCAAGGAATTTAATATAGGGCGCCACTTGTAGTGCCTAATTATACCTATTACAACCACTTGTTCTACAAAAGGAAATAATTATAAAACATCAAAAACATATATTTTTCAAATAAAACTCAAAAAAGGGTTAGTTCAAAAAAATTAAACAAAATGTTAAGAAAACAAAATTTAAACATTTATTTTTGTGTCACCAAAAACAGTTACAACATGGAGAAATACTAGAATACAAAAAACTTACGTGTGTCATCCGCTTACAAACTCCAGGAGTTGGAGATACTACATAAAACTTACAAATGTTACCGCATTACAATTTTTAAATGTTACAATTTCTAAATTTTAACGAAAGCAATTATTGTTCTAAAAAATATCTGTCTTTACTTTTAAATTAAACAAACAATAAACAGTTAACTGGATTCACATATTTTCACTTAACGAAAAGAAAAAAAAACTTGTTACATCTCTGGAGTATCTATCCGGACATCATCAGCGAAGAGCTTTATCCATTGGGGGCTGGAACTAGCACACTTGCAAAAACGGGAATTCTCAAAAAACAGGAACTAAACTTATTCAACTTTTCAACAGGAACTAGACTTTTCAAACATCTTAAAATATCGAGCGAAAACTCCACTAATTTTTGCAAATTAATGCCGGTCACTTCATACTAGATAAAAATCCACCACTACTGCTACTTATTTTTACAAAAAGGGCCAAAACAGGATAAACACGAATTCGACGACGAATTCGGATCCATACCTGAGCCTACAACGATTCAAGCATGAATTCTGGATCGTACCTGACACTACGACGACCCAAGTATGAATCAAGATCCATACCTAACACTACGAAGACCCAAGTATGAATTAAGATCCATACCTAACCTAATTGAAGAAGGTACTGACTTGTTCAGAGTTCGATCTTCAACTGAGACTAAGGTTTACTAAGTGCTACGTATGGTCAGTGCTGCTATATGGCGTAGAGGGCTGGACTCTCAAAACGAGGGATATAAACAGATTAGAAGCTTTCGAAATGTGGCTTTATCGCCGCATCCTAAAAATACCATGGACAGCGAAAATCACAAATATAGATGTCCTTAAAAGAATAAACCAAGAACGCCAACTTTTCGAAACCATCAAGCAAAGGAAAACGGCGTATCTATGTCACATCATGCGAAATGAAAAATACCAGTTCCTCCAACTTATAATCGAGGGTAAAATTGAAGGCAAGAGAGGAATGGGACGCAAGAAAATGTCCTGGCTCCGAAACATAAGGCAATGGACAGGGATTAACGACATACAATCTCTGATACATATTGCAAGAAATAGAGAATTAATGGAAAATGTGATCGCTAACATCCATTAGTGGATTTGCATCTGAAGAAGAAGAAGAGAAATCATGAGAAGTACGATGTCTCGAGTCAAGTGTAAAAGATCTCTCGCAGGATTCGGTTCGGATAGTTTTCAAGCTCAGCGACTTTTATTCTGGCTTTTTCTTCTATTATCTCTAGTACCCCTACTTACTTCAGATATATAAACAGGGAGTGTTCAGCTACGTATTTAAGATAAGTTACAGCTTTTCTTAGGCATCTGGTATGTACTGCGTGTATCTTCTTTTTGTTAATGTTACATGTGTGTCCCCATGCAAGAGATGCATATGTTATTATGGATATTATGATGCTGTTTATTAGTCTTAATATGGTTTTCATTGCTAATTTTTTTTTCTTCCTGTAAGTCTTCTTATTGCGGCTCTGGCCATCGCTGTTTTTTGAACTGCTGTGTTTACATATGGTGTGAACGTTAAACGTTGGTCCATTATGACTCCTAGATATTTAGTTTAATTCTGCCATTGCACGGATCTGTCTTTTACTGTTAGCTGTTTTTCTAGACTATGTCGTTTCTTTTTGAAGATAATTGCCTTAGTCTTCTCTGAATTTATGGCTATTTTCCGTTGGCTGCTCCACTCTTCTACTATATCTAGTACTGCCTATAGATTTCTTGCAGCCATATTCAGGTCTGCATACAGGCTGAGTAGTGTTCCGGCTGTTCTTGGAAGGTCTACTATATATATATATATATATATATATATATATATATATATATATATATATATATATATATAGTAGATATATATATATATATATATATATATATATATATATATTCTTTTCAATATTTCTCTCTTGTTTCTTTTCTATCACCTATCTCATGATGAATATAATGGTCCATGTGTTGTTCTATTTTTTCAATAGCAAGAAAATATTCTTGCTATTGAAGGCATTACACTCATTACACTGTAACAATTATATTTTGCCTACCACACGGGGTAACATTATGGGGTATAAAATTGGGGACTGAAACTAAAGGGGTGGAGATAAGGCAAGCAAAATAATCGCTACTTGTGCGAACGGCACTCAGGGTTTGGTAGGAGAGCTGGGGTCGTGGATAAGTAAAAGATAAGGGAGTTGGATTGGGGCAACTACAAAAAATGACATAAAGGGGTCATTAATCTCTTAGGATAAACAAAATAAAAATAAACAGGAAACACCTCAAGGAATTTAATATAGGGCGCCACTTGTAGTGCCTAATTATACCTATTACAACCACTTGTTCTACAAAAGGAAATAATTATAAAACATCAAAAACATATATTTTTCAAATAAAACTCAAAAAAGGGTTAGTTCAAAAAAATTAAACAAAATGTTAAGAAAACAAAATTTAACATTTATTTTTGTGTCACCAAAAACAGTTACAACATGGAGAAATACTAGAATACAAAAAACTTACGTGTGTCATCCGCTTACAAACTCCAGGAGTTGGAGATACTACATAAAACTTACAAATGTTACCGCATTACAATTTTTAAATGTTACAATTTCTAAATTTTAACGAAAGCAATAATTATTGTTCTAAAAAATATCTGTCTTTACTTTTAAATTAAACAAACAATAAACAGTTAACTGGATTCACATATTTTCACTTAACGAAAAGAAAAAAAAACTTGTTACATCTCTGGAGTATCTATCCGGACATCATCAGCGAAGAGCTTTATCCATTGGGGGCTGGAACTAGCACACTTGCAAAAACGGGAATTCTCAAAAAACAGGAACTAAACTTATTCAACTTTTCAACAGGAACTAGACTTTTCAAACATCTTAAAATATCGAGCGAAAACTCCACTAATTTTTGCAAATTAATGCCGGTCACTTCATACTAGATAAAAATCCACCACTACTGCTACTTATTTTTACAAAAAGGGCCAAAACAGGATAAACACGAATTCGACGACGAATTCGGATCCATACCTGAGCCTACAACGATTCAAGCATGAATTCTGGATCGTACCTGACACTACGACGACCCAAGTATGAATCAAGATCCATACCTAACACTACGAAGACCCAAGTATGAATTAAGATCCATACCTAACACTACGAAGACCCAAGTATAAATGACGATGACGAATTTAAAAATTCGTTCATATGACTTGAAAATAAACAAAACGCTGAAATAGAAATAAACACAACGAAACGACGTAGATATCCTTTTGCGACATATAAAAATTATAAGACGACTTCGAATAAAACATTAAAAGAAATTGCCGAAGTAAATATCTTTAAAATAATAAACAACACTGAAATGGTTTTATTAACATCTAGCAATGCAAATACAATTATTGAAAACACTTTTGAGTATTTTAACTTGAAAGATACGAACTAACCACATGGAAAAAATTCTTCGTTTTATTTTTTAAACATATATAAGGCGATTTCAATATTTTACATATACGAGGAGATTTCAATATACTTCAAAGAATCAATGAAATTGAAAATGCTACAACACTAATCCCTCTATAGTTATTTGGTGACCTTTTGTCACCTTTTTTAAAAATGGGAGGATATATATGATAGATTCCACTTCTCTGGAATCTCCTCTTCTGCTTCAATTTTACTAAAAAATACTCGTATAAGTGATACAATCTTTGCTGTTTCATATATCAGCATGTTTTATGCTTCCTTTCTTATTTTTGTCACAGGTTGTTGTGGGATATACTCCGGTCTATTCTTCTGCAACAGTTTTGTGTAATACTTTGTCCACTCCTTTGATGTATAATATTTTTACTTTGATTATTACTTCTGATGATTTTTATTTTGTTCCATGTTTCCGTTAATTTGTTATACTCTATCATATTGTCTATGTCTCTACACATTCTCTCCCAGTATTCGTTCTTTTCAAAGCTATTTATGAAACGTACTTTTTTTTTCTTTAAATCATCTCTTTTAGGTCGTCACTGTATTACTCCAAATATTTATTCTTCTGTTCAATACCCAGCACTTCGTTTGCCACTTTGTTTATTTGTTCCTTTAAATGGTAATACATTTTTATACTCAAGACTATTATATCTGTGTCTAGTCTATCGATTTCTTGGAGTATTTTATTTTGTTCAGTTGCGATTCCTTGTATATTCCACGTTCCTATTATCGTAGACCTTTTTATTCGCCTAAGTCCAATTTTCTGTCCAAATTCAGAGGCTGTGTTGGATTGTTTTTTACATAATGATTTATTCCCAGTGTAAGGTACCAGGCCCAGCGCCTCAACCCCCTATTCTGCGGTGGGCCATTGTTTTTGCTCGTTGATCAAAATCATTTGCATATTCAATCTAGGGTCGTTATCGGTAAATCCATCCAGGTACTAAGGATCCATACTAGGAACGAAATGATAGGCTAAGATATGGGCTCAGGGTAGGAAAATTGTTTCGCTTGTATGATATTAGGAGATAAACCAAGGCCCGCGTAGGCAGTGGCGAATCCCTGAAGTAGATCTGCCACCTATCGCGATCATAGATGAGTATCTACCCGCTACCTTATTGTGATATTCTATCATAAAAAACTATGCTCTCTCATGCACAGCTTTTATGCTACTTTCCAAATACCTTGAGTAGGTTAGGTCTTTGAACAGTACCTCCGGTATTGAACTGAGAACTTACCTTAAGCCTCTGGTTTCCCTTGTCGAAGTATCAGATATGTAGGAGAGTGCCATGGCAAAAAATGTAGTGTTATTGCCTGTTATCATGGTTGGTATTGCAGTGATCAAAAATATCCATGGAGATAAATTTTCAAATAAGCAGTATAATATGGTTAGCGCACAACTGAAAGCTATACCTACAAAAATTTAATTTTATAAAACAAAATATGAGTTAGTTAGTATATATAATCCTAAGCTATAAAATATTTTTTGAAGCAGAGTTTACGAGGTATATAGATGTTCTAATGAAAGGCTTTGGCACAGCTCGGAGCTGACGTTGCTGAATTTGTCACCTCTTCTCTTTTTCTCTCTTCCTCTCGTTGCTGTATAGTTTATTTTTTTACTAATGATTGGACTTCCTTATTTTGTTTTCCCTTTGCTTCTTGATGCTGGCAATTATTCTGTAAAGTCACGAAGGGTTTTCAGCCGTAATGGCTGTTGTTTATCAATTCTGCTTCGTCCCTCTATTTTACTTTTATGATTAGTTGTAAAACTCGATACTGGAATATATATATATATATATATATATATATATATATATATATATATATATATATATATATATATATATATATATAGCAATGAATAATGCAAATAGAATAGCAAATAGAATGTAGCAGTGTAGTGTACTACACTGCTACATTCACTACTACTACTGCAGTAGTGAAGTGATCAGTGACCAGTGTAGTAGTGTCTGGGGGCTCGGAAGACTGAGACCTCGGAAGCCCTGAGGATGTCGAAAGCTTGACCCAATGGATATCGATGCGGTTCAAGCCGGAAAACTGGTGAGTTTAATATTAATTTTTGTAATAGTATTAATATTAGCTCTAGGTTTCATTGTACTATATATAGATGTACATGTATACATGTATTTCACAAAACTTACTGTTACTAAGTTTCTTTGTAAACTATTCCATAGACTGTCGAATCCATCAATTATTCCATAGACGTTTATCTTGGGTACTGCAACCTTTTCTACGCGATGTTTTCTTCTTTAGAACTATATCCAAAACTTTTTTTCACATTGCCCTTTTTGGGGATTTTCTCAGAACAATCAGAATTAAAACAAAATACATTACCTCCTAAAGTAACCAACAAAACTGGTTTTCTCCCATGTTTATCAGACCAAGATCCCGCCATTAGACAAATAAACGTCGGCAGAAGTAAATCGAGGAGGGACTTTACCATTGATACGACATCTGCATAAGGCTGAACAATTTTTTCGTAGTGATGAGTTACGTTATTATCTTTATTTCCCAGTTGAGAACAATCGCTTTTATTATATCCAAGTGTTACATAGCAAGTTCGATAGATAATTAAATTTGTTACCACAGAAGCTAAAATAAAAAAATGTTAAGTAGATAGCAAAATAATTAAAAGAATTTATGTAAGGTTGCTTAACGCTTGGATACACCTGTCATGCAGCCTTTCGTTTCACACTCCGGTCCGATATTGCTCCATAAAATCTAGTCAGTGTAGGATCGGAAAGGAATGATCACACATGTTATGTTTGCTTCCTACTCCTATCCGATTTTACACTAGTCTATCTTGCCAGTTGATTGTGTAAGGTACTTTTCGATAACCGTAATTTAGCTATTGTGGCTATCTGTTCGGATGAGGCAGATCTAATTACAAAAAATACCGCTGATAGAGAGCAGTGAACGTAAGTATTGGGTACATGATGCTTAAAATATAAATATACGAAGAAGGAGAGTGTGTTACACTTTTATATCGTTTGTTGAATGGCGAGACTAACTTTTTTGAATATTTTAGAATGAAGATGTACACGTTCAATGAGTTTGAACTTAAATTAAAAGAAAAAGTTTCCAGGCAAGACACATATACTCAAATAGCATAGATACATAGACACACATACCATGAGCATAGAAGCTCATGTATCAACATATCACCAACCACTAGAACATCTTCCGCAATCACTTCCGCCATCTTTATAATGGTTATTTAACATCCAAGTCATTTAACCGTGGCAACCAACTTGGTACAAGTACACTTGTACAAGTCAACTTGGTCCAAGTTGGAATCCAAATATTCTTGGATCGTATCAATCCGTCTTTACTTTACTTTTAGCCGATAAAACCGAGCCGAGCCTATTAAAAATTGACGTTACAACCGAGATGACGTAACTACCGAGGTAGTAATATCCAAATTCCACTGTAGTTAGCAATGCCGGTGTTTGATCGGAGACGACAACCGAGAACGGGTAGGAGTAGAATTGGTTACGCGACAGACAGGTAAGGTCTGCAGCATTCATAAGGCAGTCAATTCCTTGTCATTCAGTCGTCCGGATGTATGATTGTATCGGGTTGAAAGGCTAAATCATAGGTGTGTTCACTAGAGCTGTTATACGGAGGAAAATGAAAAAACGATTTTCACAAACGCGGGGTGCGGAATCGATGTTTCTGTAGGGAAGGAGTTAAAAATTCATTACCATTTTTGATATTTTCGCTCTGACCCAACGTAATTTTAATTTTGAAATTTAAATTTTGTTTATTTTTACATACGCGAGGTTCGGTATCAATCCGCTTTTAGGGTATGAATAGAAACTTCATTAATACTTCTTGCTATTTCTATCAGAATAACTGCCCCAGCGCTACTGAAATTGATCTATTTTGAATTTTGGGCCAACCTATTGCCTAACTCTGCAATTAATCAGTTATGACCTGTCAAAGGAGTCGATCTCACTTACTCTTCCAACCAATTTCTATTCTAAGTAGGTATTTACTATTGGGTACTGTTTCGATAATCGGTGGGCTTAATACCGTTTTCTATAGCATTAAGTTTAATCGTCAAGGTTTCGTATTGTGACAAATTTTGTGTGAATTCGTTTACAGTTGTTATAATCAGATTAAAATTTGGCATTGCTCCGAAGTGAAATATCTTGTCCAATATTTGATTCTATCAGTGATTCTACCTAAAAATGTATTACCTACATACGAAAATATAATGAAGCTGTTTACATTCGTATCTCAAAGCTATAACAACTATGTGCGAAAAACCAGTGAAATTGTGACCGAAAAAGTAGATGAGATGTAACGGAGAGTTTCAATATCAATCGTAGAATACAAAACAATATTAGCTAGAATTATATCTTACCATGATAAGTATAAAACATTATTGAAACCTTATAAAGGCAGGAAAGACGAAGACGGTTACAAAGAGAAGCTGTTCAAGTTTGGCGAGGATTGCAAGAAATTTTTTGATATTGCTACTTACCAATGTTCAGAAGCTGTTCAAGTTTGGTGAGGATAGCAAGGAATTATTTGATATTGTTACTTGCTAATGTTTAGAGTTCAGAGATTGTAACTATCTTAGAAACCGAAAAATTCCAATACCCGAACGAAATTTTTTAATCTACCAACGGACCGGTGGTTTTGATCGTGAAGCGACTAACACAAAATTTAGAATAATTTACATATATTATACCAGCAAAAACAACGTGAAGAACAAAGAGCCTTACAAATAAAGGTGGAATCTATTCCTAGTACTTCTAAATCACCTACAACTTCAAAGATACGATCGAATGTTCAACAGACAGATATATTAAAGAAACATAGTAAAATTGAGTTCTTCAAACCGCAATAGATTATTTCCACTTCTTCACTCACAATGTCCGATGTCACATTTCGGGTTGTTGCCAGAACATTAGATTGTTATGGAGTTTCAGATCGTGCTGGAGCTGCAATCATATCATCACCAGTTATATACAGAAGTAGAGTTCGACGAGTCCAAAGCTGGGGCTACATTGACAGATGAACGTACAATTTTTGGCGCAGACATCATAGGATTATTTTACGATAGTAGAAAAAAATAAAACGTTAATACACGAAGATAGTCGTAGAAGAGTGATGAAAGTGGAGCATATTACCATATTGAAAGAACCGGACTCTGAATAAGCAGGCCATATTTCTTTGAAAATTGGTGGCGTCAAAACGATTTGCAACTTTATCCTTTCCTCTAAGGCTATCGGTGAAAATTAAATAATGGCTGCTGGTTGGGATGAAACTGCCATTAACACAGCAATCGAAGATGGCCTTATTCGTTTATTGGAAATCAAGCTTCAACGTCCACTCCAATGGCACATATACCAACTGTACGCTAATGAACTGGCATCGCATTATCTTTTTCAATATCTAGATGGCACTATAAGTGGACCAAAATGTTTCACAGCTCTCATTGGCAAGGTAGTTATTAACTGTGAAGTATTACTGGTTTTTTCCGTTTGATGCAATTAAATGTGCGTTACCCGATATTACCAAATCGACACAAGAATTAGGCACCGATCAACTATATCTATCACAAATATGTCAATATATCAATAGTGATGGATTGTGATAAAAATTTTGCGAAAAAAATCCTGGTAACTAGTTCACTCTAGATGGTTAACAATGGCGAACCGGATATTGAGATAATATGTCTCAAGTCAAACTCCATTAGAAAACCTAATTATACTTAACGCAGTAATTTTAGTGGTCTATGGTTTAAAATCAAGACTGAACCAAATTTTATTTTTGCTGCCTAACATTTATATGATCAGATAAAACTATCGTCCTATCTGCCAAACCATTATTATCTACCCAGTCATACAGAGAAATACATTCTTTAGATAATCAGAGAATTTACTACTAGGAATCTTAGCCGACAACAGACAGTACGTCAGAGAACTTGCACTCCGCAGAATATTGAAGATCAAAGAGACATCAGACATCGAAGCCTTACGTATTTTCTACTTTAAATATGGATGCTAATAATACTATATATGATGCTAATGATACTATATATGATGCTAATGATAATGAGTATGCCAATAATCCATTATTATTGATCCTCCTAGTGATTTATACATCTTTCTATTGACTTCTGAATGGCTAATGTTCTGAATCACAAAAGCAAACAATAGGTAAGAGTATTTTGTTATCATCACGAAAATACCCACAAAGATATACAGAGGATGTACCTTGGGCTCGACGATTTAGACCAGTCTAGTATGGTTGAGTTTTGTTGGTATCAAAGAGAAAAATGGAAGGCACCCAAATCAACATGACAAATTGCAAGGCTTACGCGAAGCAAGTGTTTCAAATGGAACAAATCAAAGCTGAAAAAGCAGTTTGGCAAAACTGTTTCAGATGCACGGAGTGTGGTTAACAGTTAACCGTTGAAACATACGCGAGCCATGAGGTCACCTTCTACTGCAAACCCCATTTTAAGTCCCTCTTCGCCCCCAAGGCAGTTGAAGATGACACTCCATCAAGCGATAAGCCCGACCTTGGTCTCGAGGAACTCCAGAATTTAAATGTGAAAGAACGCTTCCAAGTTTACCAACAAAATTTAGTCGGAGACTCAAGAGATGGACAGAGGACCCACTCCTGTCAATGTGAATAAATAACCTTCTATTTTATCCAAACTCGCAAGATTCTAAGCCAAAGGCATGAACGTCGGTGCATCGGATGAAGCGTTAAATGGAATACCTATCGAAGAATCCTCTTCTGAAGCCGAAGAGGAGGAGGAAGTGCCTGATGGAGAAGATCCCGCTCTATATAGGGCCAAGAAGGTGCTAAAAGAAAAACCATTCCATTTTATTAATCTGAACGAAGTTAAGAATAAATGGGAACAGAGAGAGCAGAATTCGAAAGATGAGAGACGGGAGGAAAGGAAACAGGAGATCCAGTCTATTAGGAATAAGTTATTTTTTGGGAAAACAAGGAAAAATGAAATGAACATACCAGTAAGCAGTCATGCAAACAGAATCGTGCACAAATCTCGTAAATCAGAGAAAATAGAGTCCTGTGATACTAAGTCTCTGAAAGAGAGAGTAGTGTGTATTAGTATGAGCAAAATGAGGAGGGGGTCAATGAACCGAGGCCGGTCTAGACAAGATTTAATAGGGTTACTTAAAATAGGGTGGAGCGAATTAACCAATTAAGATTGTACACAATGACTGGTCAAAATGACTAATTATAACAATAATTGATTATAATTATCAATTACCCTAGAGTAATCTAAAATAGGGTGGGGAAATATATGATATTATTGCACGCAAAATGAGGAGAAGCTATATAGAGTAGGGTACGGTAGGAAAAATGTGTATAAGAAGCCAAAACTTGCACACATCAATCAGAATTTCAAAATGAGTGCTATATTTCGAAACGTATTTTTGGGTGAACGTCGGTTTTACCTGAATCCATCGAACTCAAAATTTGTTTCTGTTTGTCTAGCACATGAATTGAATTTTGAACCGGTAGTGTTCATCAGTGGTAATAAACAAGATCGTGTTTTATTTAGTGAAACTGAGTGGTTAAACTTTCTATCATATAAAACT